TGCAAGGCCATTTCTACCCTAAGGTTGATGTTCATAGGGAGAAAAATCAGTCAGAAACACCTACTACCTATGCAGATATTTTAATAAATTATTTGCATTGACTGCCACAGCTATAACATCCCCACAATAATACGTGTAGATATTTTACATAACGGGCTCACAGGTTAAAGTGTTTTAGATTGGTATTGAACCACGGCTCGACCATAATTAAGGCATTTGTATATTTCACGAATGCCTTGTGTTGACAAAGTTAAGATGGCTCAATCAAACCAATGATGATCATTTCAGAGTAACCCTAACTGTTGCAAGTGTACAAGCAGCAACGTTAGTATAATATATTTCCATATGTGAATACTCTCGGTTTTCATTATTGAAATATCACATGTTCACCTACAAACATGTTTATTTTATTTTTTTAAATTACATATTCTGCTACATTTAATGCACTTGTAAATCTTTAATGGGTGGAGAAAAACGTAAAATATTCAAATGAAATAGAAGATAGATTTCTGCAGTTACTATCAGGGACAACAAAAAACACATCTTTCATGTTCTGTGGTTTCGTTTTTATGAGAAATGTTATAGAGAGGGATACTTTTCTGTCGTCCGGCTATTCAATAGCACCGTGCTATGAAAATTACAGCTTAAAAACATGACATTCTTTTTTTTCTAACATCAGTTTAGAAAACATTTATTAGAGCTTAGATGCTTAAGTGCAGATTGGAAGTAAGAAAGAGTTATAAAAATCATGACCGCAAAATCCAAAAGAAAACCTTAATTAATACCCAACTCTTCGGCCTCCGCATATCTTTTATAGTTATATATAATTAAAGGTAATAAAAGAAACAAAGAGAGAAGTTAAATATACTTTTTATCGCTGAATTATTTGTATAATGAAAGGATTCATTTTCATATTTACTTCTATAGCAAGAATTCAGAATACCCTAACGGAAAGGGTTTTCATATCTTCCAACTTAGACAGTTTTTTTTACTCATTTGTCAGAACCGTTATGAAAGCAGTCCTATTACCATATTTCAAGCACGACTTGCCTGGGAACAAAGAGAATGACTATTCTTTTGTGCTTAATATATCAACTGTTATATCTGAATCCCAGCACAAAAAACATTACAGTGAAACTGTAATAATGCTTCTGTGCATATTCTTTTATATTGTCGTTCTTATGAGGAAGCTAGCACTTGTTTGATCATTTTAACATTGTTGTTTGAAACCTAAGACGGACAGTATATGTTTATTGTTTGAAGATAACAGTCAAGAACGTAATGCACGTGGGACATTCAATCTCATCGACCCTTCGCTGATATGTCTAAAGTTATTATTATGAACTAAAGCGCAATATTTTAGTTTGCGTGATTTAATGCTTAATAAATTATTAAGCAATATTATCTGGGGCATATTAAGTATTATTTAACCTTATGTCTCTGTGATTATAATGAAGAAAATTCCAGTTATTGTAGAAGAAAATAAAATCTCTTGAAAATTGTTATTACTCGAGAAAGTTCTTAGACTGGTTTGCATATTATATTTTGACACATCTATATTTGTGTATGTTGTCGTGCACAGCGTATCGTATCTATATATATATATATAATAGTCAAATGTCCGTCTGTCACGTTCTGTATCCCCTGAACGATTAGTCGTAGAAAAGAAAATTATATATCAAAATGATTCTGTTTAAGAGTCTATTGCATAAAAATATTCATGTTTTACAGTTCTTAAAATTTCATATCATTATCGACATCGATCCGTTAGTCTTTGTATGTGTTAAACGGTCAATCTGAGAAAAAAAGTTATTAAGAACAAAAATGTTTATTTTTTATGAGGGAATTCACGAAACGAGACTTCCTCCGTTGACTGATTGAAAGAAATATTTCGAAATGTGTACATGAATGGAAAAAAATCTTATAGAGAGAGGAACGTGTTTGAGTATATATTTGTTGTTTTTCGGCTTATATAAAAATATATATTTCTCATGTCGGTATTATTTTATTCTACCATCTCAAATAAGTTTTTTTGAATTGAAGTGAATATTTTTCCTTTGACATTTCTTGTAGAAATGACAACTGTCAAAAAAGAGCTCACTTCATTAGCTGTCTTTTCTTGTGCTTAGTAAAATGACAAGGAACGGTAGCATCCAACGGAAAAAAATCACAGAGACTACTTTGCGAAGCTGAGCTCTCTAATGTGTTGGATGCACTCACTGCATTGGAATCCAACGATTTTTTGCCAACAGTGCATTATATTCAGCTTCCTTTTATTATAAACAAACGTAATGCTATATTCGTTATTGAAATAACACATGGCAAAAGACAGTTGAAAACGACCCACTAGACAATCATATTGCATATACGTTCTGATCCAAGGGATTTGGTTGACTGCACATTTTATATTTATTCACCACTATTTTTAGGGAAATTACCACTGAATTGTTTCAACGGGCATCTGCTAACTATATTTTAAAGGCTGATATTCGAAACCTATATGGCTAAGATGTTGACCCAGCATTTTCATGTCCAACATATCTGGTCAGTGTTTATAAAAAGATATAAAAAATGTGTCCCCAATATATCACTTCTTTCATTTCTAAAGTATTTTACATAGACCTATGGGTCAGAGTTAACAGTTTAAAAACATTATATGTAAAGTGTATTTATAACATAATATTTTATTTACAACACAATGTTATCAACTGAAGGTATTCCTGATTATATTAACACAAGCAAGCCATATATTGAATTCATGTTTAGCACATAAGTCTATTTTTAGACTATGCTTATTTGTAGTTAAGCACAAAGCTACACAATGGGCTATCTGTGCTCTGCCCACCACGGGTATCGAAACCCGGTTTATAGCGAGGTCAGTTAGACAATGAGTAAGCCAAAATAATGATCATAGGAAAACAATTTTATCACAATGAACTTTATATTTATAATAAAGACGTCTCATGGAGAACCAGAGTAGTGATGGTTTTTTTCTTTGACACTGTGGTCTTAATATATGTTGTATGAGTAACAGTTTATGAATTACTGGAATTACTTTTGTTACACATTCAATAGAATTTTAGGAACTACAAGAGTGTGATTTGTCATGTTTTCTGATAATTCGGACTGATAGAAAAGGGTCCTTATAACACAATAAAGCAAACTGAAATATTTATTTGGAGAACAATTTGAGAGGTATATTTTTGTATCTTTGATTGATTTTCAGAATTAGTAGAACGTTATGTATAGAAATATTTCATCAGGCTCTTAAGCATATGAAATGATATTTCTTTTTCAATATTAGTATGATTTAAATAGATTAAATTACATTTGTTTTCTATTATTTAACTTTCAAATATAAATCTACAAAACAGGTATAATACTTCATAAATGATATTTAGGTTTTCTGCATCTTTACTCCCTCAAGAGCCTAATAACTAATAATTTTGATAGTTTACTAAAAACTTCAAATACTTGGTCATCTTGTACTAGCATTAAAGAAAATATTTTAGTCACTGATACAGTCTCATATTATAAACCACTAAGTTAATACTTAATAGTTTCCATTTTCTGATATTAGCTGAGAAACAACGCGAACCTATTAAGCTGAGTATAAAAAGAAATCACCTAGACATGATAACTAGAAATGGTAGATAGACAAGGCAGATACACATATCTAAATATGGCATGGCAGATTGACATTCCCCAATATAAATATATGAAATATGAAATATATTTAAATAAATATAAAACACTTCAGGTGTTTTAAACCTGAGCCATTTTTCCAGGATATAAAATATAATTAACCATATGTGTATCTACAGATAAATTCCGTAGTATTATTCAGATTAACGTTTCTACAAATACCACAAAAAACGGATACTTATTAAATATATGCAAATATAAACATTTTATTCTATAGGCTATCTGCCTTCTCTTTGAAAGTTATGACATTGTTCAGTAAATCCAAAAACCCTTAGATATATTAGCCAAAAGCCTTTATCCAAGTTGTAAAAACTTTATTAAACATTCGTCTTTAAACAATTGGAGTAATGAATCCATAATAACTACAATATTATTAAAATTATTAATTTCAAAAGGGGGAATAGAAATCTTCAAAAACTTACAGAAACAATATAGGTAGCTTAAAGCGAAAGTACAATCGCAAAAAAGTAAACAAACAAGCTTAAGGTTTGAGACATAGTATTGAAATTATTTCCTAAAGTTACTAATACCTATTTTGCTCCATGTCTAAAAGCTGTAATATTTAAAAGAGTCAAAATAGGGCTTTGATAGTCAGCTTCAAGGATGGCTACTCTATCTGCAGTATCTCTAATATTCTCCATCATACAGTGTTGGCTGTAATTCGAAACATACCACCAGCCATCACTACGATTGCCGATCCTATGCTCGAAACTGAGCTTGATGCTATCTTTTAAACTACGGCTTAACGATGTTTGAATAACATTTTAGACATTTGTGATCCTGTCAGCAGCGTCTTGTCGAAAGGCCTACGTAATGTGATGCACACACAATGGTTTATCCTGACAATTAGGTACTGACTTTAAATATAGAGAAATGTGTAGGATGTTGGGATGTTATAATTATCACGAAAAAATGGTGCAATGACATATAAAGCCAAAATAAAAGAAAAATAAGTGTATTGTGTAACGTTTGATGTTACTACTCTTTGTGATGGAACAGCGGTAAGTCTACGTATTTACAACGCTAAAATCAGGGGTTCAATTCTCCTCGGTGGACACCGCAGATAGCCCGAAGTAGCTTTGCTATCTAGTAATATCTTTTAGCCCAAACGCCACTTGGTGATTATTTTGGTAACTGCAGTAATAATATTTCGTTGTTCTGCATAATGTATTTATAACAAACATTGAAGATTAACGCAATGTAACCCTTTGTGTAGTTACATTCTTACAAATGTTAATTAGCATAATATATTTATATACTTTTTTGGTTTAAACTACAGTATAGTTCTCTAACAGGTTTGTCCACTTCAGTCGCTAGAGGGCCATCTTTTATTTTGGAACCTCCTAACCATGTGAGCTTTTACAACACTTCTGGAGTAATTATTCCGTGTTCAGCAACTGGAAATCCACTACCAGTTGTTTTATGGACTGATGGTCTTGGAAATAGATTGGAGGACATACCTGGTCTGCGTCGCAGTCGGTCTGATGGCTCTTTAATATTTTCGTCTTTTCCTGTCGACCAGTACCAGCAGTCTGTGCACTCAACTTTCTATCGTTGTGTAGCTTCAAACACAGTCGGCACGATTGGAAGTAGAGATGTACACGTGCGAGCAGGTACTTTTATTGTCTCATATTTTATATGAACTAGTGAGCTTATTTAAATAGTTTAATTAAGACTAAATCAATATGCATAAAACTTTTAAGCAGAACTTTTATTCTTTATCCTAATTGGGTGATTAACAAGACTCCGTCATAATGGTATCATTAATGATATGTATGAATGCATTATTTAGATCTGCATATTATTGTACCTAAAGTTATATGTGGAAAAATCATTATAATTATGGTTGATAAGAAAATCATTAGGGAAAATTATATTTGGATTATCAGGTGCACGTTATATGTTTATTTACTTGATTTTACGTTATATAAAACATGAATATAATATGTTACACGTATCGCCTTTATTTGTTTTATATAAGTAAAAGTCTTGTTTACTAATACTACTTCGTTTAACTCAAAGAAGTAGACCATATGCCGTATTTATGATTTGGTTATTGTTACTGTTATCGGAATAATAAATTATACACTTTAGGAAATACTTTCCAAGAAAACTTATTTATTATATGCCTTGTGTATGAAGTATTTAACCACCTGGTTCACTACAAGTACGCTTTAAAACCATAAAACTTACTTTATATAAGTTGTAATGTTTCTTCCAGTGCTAATCAAAATCAGCAAAAGAAATTATGAAAATCTCTCAAAGCGATAACAACTTGAACCTCGCAGAAAATGGGAATTAAGATAGAAAATACAACACAAATCCAATATGACATAGAAGTTCAATACAAAATTCCACAAAGTTGTTAACTATTTGTAAAAATAGGGGAAAAAAAGGAAACGTCTTTAAGGAATGCGGTAATTTTCGTACTATCAAGGACTATATCTAAACTTATAAAAATAAAACATTTGCTTTGTCTACGAACTACTCCGTAGTCATTGAACCAACCTCAACCAAACTTGTTAGGATGATGCATTGGACCAAAAGGTATGCCATAGGATGGGGTTTACCTGACCTTACCTATCCTGGGCTGCGCTCACAGTAAATATATATTTGTTTAGCTAATGACTCCACGCTCTTGGACGAATTTTTATTGTTAATGTTTTTTTTTGTTGTTGTTTTGAGTTTTTTCTTGGGAAATTTTGAATTTTTTCATGTAAAATGTTAAATGCTTACATGTTTGTCAAGAAAAATGTAACAACTGTCATTAGTCCATAACAGTAATAAAACTCATAACATGACCAGCCAAGAGTTACAGTTTCGAGCATATCAGTTCTCATTAGTTATTAACAGTAATTAAGATTACCACGCAAAGAAACTTCACATGGAAGTTGCGCCCACTTTATAAGGACGATTATCATATGTTAATACTGTTGCGAAGCGCCACAGACGACAAGTTTAATACTTATGTTTGGTTAGAAAGCGCATTGACGCCGCGATTGGTATGGTTGAAAGGAAGCCATTTCAGAGGAAAAATATCCATATATAGAAATTGTTAAGCAACGCACAGTCATATGAAACATATAGAACAACTTGCAATGCAGAGAAATTTCATGCAACACATCAAAACCACACTTCATCCTAATCAACAGCAGCACATTCATACACAAAATGAGAGCTGCAGTTATAAAGAAGAACCTTTCGATCTAAAAATAATCATCACTGGTTTCATGAACTAGATAATAAACCTAAGAATAGAAAGTTGATGAAGTACAAACCAAAGGTTTATAAACTTCCAGCCATACCTCGAAATTAACAGCTATTTTCATAAAAATGATGGCCAAAGAAACTAGAAACACAGTAATGTATTTGACCACATATTTTGCAAATTACCCTATATAGCTCTAATGAGTTTTGTATGCCTTTGATCTGCATAAAAGTAAGCTTTGAGGCAAACCGTAAACTCTCTTTCGAGATAATATATGAAAACTACACCTGTAAGTGAAGCACTAAACGTAAGCAGTTAAAATGTGAAATAAACAACAATATGGTTAAATATATAATACATTGCAAAGGTCAAACCAATTTTTTCTTACAAAAACAACACAGAACAATTACATTTTTTTTTTCATAAACACAGTGTATAATTACGTTAAGGTATGAGAAAACTACATATCTTTTTTCTCCTTCAATTCGAAAGTTGATAATGAAAATTAATATAAACTTCCTATGTTAAATTGTGGTTTCTATAATTAAGATAATTAACGTAAATATAACTATATATTTCCAATAATACAGAATAAAACACCATGCTTTTATTTGTACTTTAGTATTGCCAGCAATATGAATTCTAATAATAAATAAGAATTATTGCTAACTTTTGGTCTGAATTATTGTACCCTATTCGTAAAGCAATTGCTACACTTACCATTATAAAGGATAACTAAATCCCATAATAATAATACTGTAGCTAATTAGACTGCATAAATTTTAAAATATTGAAATTTGGAGCATGTGATTGCTGATGAAAGTAGAATATTTGAATGTATGTTATCCAGTGTTGTAAAGTTTTACTTCAATAATATGTTATAATTTTTCGCTTGCTTGATTCGAACAAAAAAGAATCCAATAAAAAAAAAAAACTGTTCACTGTAGTTGACTATTACTGAAATTGATTTGATTTTATGACTTAGTGAAATAGTTAAAACAAGAAAGTTTAACACTTACGAATAAGATCTGTCTGTAAAGGCTGATCGGCAGATTTCTTTCCCGAAGTGTTTTATACTCTTATATAAATTTGCTTTGGTAAATCCAAATTAGTAAACAAATTCTATATTTTCATAGTAATATTATTAATAACAACCACAAATTGTACTGTTGCCCAGATAATCTTGATATTTTGTTACATATCTTTTGCATTTCTGGTCATTTGCAGCACTTTTACTTCAGTGCACTGTGTGATTTGTTTAGTTACCAACTTTGAATTACTATGATAATAATATATAATAATATAGCAGATATGACAATTAGAACTAACTTATTGGATTCTATGTTTACATGTTCATATAGCAAACACTTTATACATTTCAAACAAATATTTTTTTCGAGCTTAATCGTAATGAGGAGTGATTGTGCTAGTGGAGATTACACTCAGTTAAAGTTACCACCTAAAGTATATATAGATCCATCGCGCAACATCTCACGTTATTGACGTAGTTGATATTGCTCGAAACTACAGTTCTCAGTTAACCAGAAAATGAATTTTGTTGATTGATGTCAGCTGATATGTTTTTGTTACGGTTAATGACCTATTAAAAATGAATGTTTGATACATCTGGAAAATCTGAATAGCACGTAATGTTTTTCGTAATACAAGAGGTAGACTGTTAATGTACAAAATATACCAGTATTAGTAATTGTTTTCTCTTGTGATTTACACACCAAAGATCATTTGGTTCGCAATGATTTAAGGCATGGGATGCAGATTCAATTCTATTGGGTTTATGTAATGTGTTACCATGAAACGTTGAAACTGCGATGTGATTGACATTTTATAACTTTCTATATATATAATAATTCCTTAAACAAAATCCAACCTCATGATTATATTTCACAAACTTTAATAAATTATATCATCTTTACGATATGAATCTGATTATCTTAAAGTATTTAAAATGGGTTATCTATCAAGCGATATAAGAAGGTTACTTATGTGTTTTTGCAATACTCAAAATCATAATCGAAGTTAGTTTATTTTACATTTGTTATCCTAAACATGGACTTAAAATAACCTTGTAAGGTCACATAAAGCAACAGTAATTTAAAATGATATACTGTGACTTAAAATCAAATTAATGTAGTGAATGTAACCTTGGAATGCATTGAAAGCGGAGAACAACTAGGAGTCAGTGACATCTTTCATATCTCATCTTTAAGTGATCGAATTCTGGCACATTAATACAAGGTCTGCAAAAGCGGAGCTTTATTGTTACAGGGATAAAAAATCGATATATCATTTAGGTATGTTTAGTAGTCTATGCATTTGTATTCTTTGACTGTCACTTGTTACAAAACACCGTATATTTCTTACCACAGCTGAAGTACTGCTTATTTCAAGCCTCTTACTGGGTGGTCCTGGTGTCCTAAATCGATCCATCTTCCTTTCTTTTACAATGACATAAAGCACAAAAGATATCTCTGTCTTGAAAATTCTAAATCCCCGATCTGGATACATATTTAGGACCTGAGAGTATGAATATTTTGCATCAAAAAGAGCTGTTACACACCTTTTCAAAAGCGATAAATATTTGATTACATCAATCTACCTACGAACGCCAAACATTTGGAAAATGTAGTTCTAATACATTATTTTCCACTGCGATTTTATATCGACTGTAATTGTCACATTACTTCCTGATTTGCATATTCAAAACCATTTTGATATAATGTACTCATATCCACTCAAACTTTTGTATATATATTGTTCAACGATTTTAGAAAAAAATTGAGTTTAAATTTGTTAATTTGCAAATTTTACTTATAGATATGGAATAAAGTGCTTTTTCGAGGCAAACATTGTATCACTATGTGAGTATACATATCCACTATTGAAAATGTTTTTTTTTCTAAATTGTTTTTGAAAAATATAGATACTATTTGCCATAAAACTAAATAAAATACACTTCTTAATAAGACTTACTGTTTTATATTAGGCATTAAAGCACGTGCAACACTTGAGTTAGTCGTAATCACATTGACTTCCTATGAACCAGATGCCAGCTTGAGGAAAGGAAAATATTGAAACTATCATTATTCTCAAGTAATGGAAAATTTTATATTTCCTTACTCATGCGACAAAGATAAAGTACCAACAAATCACAGTCAGAAAATGATTTAACAAAGTCCAATATTTTCAGTTTAATTTAAACGGTGTTTAGTTGACTGTAAGAAATTTTTACAATGTGGAGTGCCACGACTATAAATGGTCGTTATCGAACTGCGGAAAAGAACACGTTTAAAATATAAATGTTGATCGTTGACCATAGAAACTGGATATAGCTGACGTATCGTCCTCTTTTCTAATGCATTTATTTCCGTTCCATTTATCACAATG